GATGAAGAAAGCAATTAAATCACTTAGTAAAAAATTTATATGGTAATCGTCCAAGTTAAACTAAAATAAAGATCATTTAAACTTAAAAAACTTAATAATGGCATAAGCTCATTTTCGCTTCGGACGGCGTGGTGAACAGCAATAGCAGCAGTAGGAAGGTGGTGGCTAGTCCACTCCTTCACACCTAACAAGCAACAATTGACTGGTCGTGGCAAAGGAGGAAAAGGTCTGGTAAAGGAGGCGCCAAGCGTCATCGCAAAGTTCTTCGAGATAAGCGCCATCGGTCGTCTGGCTCGCCGTGGTGGTGTCAAACGTATCTCCGGTCTGATCTACGAGGTGTGCTGAAGGTGTTCCTGGAAAATGAGGTCCGTGATGCTGTCACCTACATTAAACACGGCAAGCGTAAGTGGCCATGGATGTCCTCTTCAATAAAACGGCCCTTTTCAGGGCCATCAAGGTTACATCAGTAAAGAGTTGGAATTTATCTGTGCTTGTTTGTTCATATTACGAACCACAAGCCCCCAACGACCACACAAAATGCTCTCCAGAGTTGTAATTTTGTAACAAAACTTGGAAGCAGGGGTGCAAGTGATTTTGATTGATTCTCTTAAGGGGGTATTCCCAATCTTTTGCCTTTTTTCGGCCTGTTTTTCAATTAATTTTTTTTAAGGAAAATGAATAGTAATGCGCCTAACTCTTTGGGATTATTGTTTATTGAACATTAAAGTTTACAAATAAATTTTTTTCGACATAAAAAAAGACATTATTGACGTCACAAAATGGCGGCAAACAGACCCCTGTTCGCCGCAAACGCCTGGACGGGCTAAGACTTTTCTCTGGAACGGCTTCATCTGAAACAGATTTCGTGATGAAATTAATAATCTGCATAAGATTCTCTGGAGCTTCTCCCGTTGGCAGCAAAAAATCTTGCAAATTAACAAAATGGCGGCCATATGAAAAAACAGGCGATTTTTAGCCCGCTTTTTTGCAGCTTTAAGGTGCTTCAAACAATGTTAAATGTTAATATTTTTGGCTGAAAGTGGGAGAAGCTCCAAAGAATTTAATAAGGAACAAAATGCGCAAAGATTCAAGTCAATATCTCTTATAGTTTCTGAGAAAAATCTTCGCCCGATAAAAAAATGTGGTTTCGAGAAAAACGCGTTTAAAGTTTTGACTTTAGTTAAAACCATTTGGGGGTTCTTACCATTAGTCAGCTATGCCTGGACACTGAATTCGCTGATCGGAAAACGGCTTGGGGGGATGAAAGTATATAGTCTAAAGTACAAAAAAACGTGAAAAACAAAAATTTGATTTTTTGAAAAAAAAAAGATCGGGAATACCCCCTTAATCAACTTTCTCTTTGAAAAAGATTACTACAAATTTGGTACGCCTACAATTCAAAAACGGAAAGAGTTGAGATAATAGATAATTGATCAATTAAAAGAACTAAATGCTCTTCACATTTATTCCGTCCACTAGCGGTCCTACGTCAAGCTTCCGTTCGTGCCCCTAGGCACAGACCCTTCTGCTTTTTGTGGACGGGAAACATGTGCGCAAATTTCCAGCAAGATGGAAATATGCCACTGGAGAGAGACGTTCGGAACAGGCGAAGAAGCGGAAGTAACAAATTGGCAATATGTCTCTTCAAAAATACAGATGGAACTCCATCAGGTCCAGGATTGAAGGATGACTTGAGCAGAGTCGTGGCCTTAGAAATCATCTCTGCATTAACATCAATTGCACCCACCGTTTGATCATTTACTGGAACGTTCCTGGCAGCCAGGTTAATATGATCGTCAGTTAGTATCTCATTAGTGAATAGACTGGCAAACTTTTTGGAAAAAAGGTGGCATATATCCTGAACGGTGGCAACAATTTCTCCGTTGAATTCCATAGACGATGGGAGGCCTGATTCCCTGCGTTGCTCGTTCACGTAGTTCCAAAAGGATTTCGGGTGTAGCTTAAGTTTGCGCTGGATGCCTCGTTGGAAACTTGAAAAGCATTCACGACTGACTCGCTGGTACATGTGATTCAGCCTCACATAATGTAGTTTCAGAGGAAGCGTGCGATACTTCGTAAATCTTCTCAATGCTGCTCTCTTGATTGACTTCAACCTACGTAGCTCTCTCGTCTGCCAGAGAGGGTGAGACACTTAGTGGTGAGTTCTTTTCGGGACTTGTCTGTCAATGACATATGCCAAGACATGTGAAAAGGTCGCAAAGTCCGGTATACCTCAGAGTAGCCATCTGGGACCATTGGTATTTCTCCTTTACTTCGTTCACCATGTTATCACAGGGCCATGATTATCGTTCGTATTATTCGTTGACGATCTGAAAGTTTTTCCAACCGGTGTTTATTTCAGTTACAGAGGGGACGTAATTTGTGATTAGTCCCGGTCCCTTTCAAATTTTATCATTATTTATGTACGGTCCTTATATTTGAAATGACGTTTCACATTCATCTAGTGATGGCCGATTTACATTCGAATAATCGAATAATCGATTAACGAGCCGAAAAGTAAAATATTTGTTATCGGTTATATCATGCCGATATAAGCATTAACTTCTCCAGAGGATCATCACCGATCGTTTCAAACATGTGCTGCACTCTCATTGGTGGAAAAATGACAGCACAACGAATAAAAAATAATAGATTAGTTGTTAATTTAGTAATTAAAAACCCGAATTTATCCACCTATGGTGTGATCAGACCCTTCTTACTTATTCAAGTTTATTTATTTTACTGTCATTATCAGTGACCAAGCCCCCCACCCCCGTGTCATCCAGTGACGCTACGCCACTGCCTGGGGGTACCCGGAATATATCCAATTGTAGTCTATTTGGTGAGGTTACCAATCACCTTATCATCGTATTTTAATGTGATTTAATGGGGTTTAATTCAATTCATATTCAAGCAACTTCCCCGGGGTACCCGGAACATGTCCAAGTGTGTCCAATGTGGTCTGGAACACTTAACACGACTTGCATTGATCTTATTTTTGAATTCTGTAGTAATTTGATGTGTCGCATGATGGTTTTGATACGTTTTCCGTTAAATCCAGCGTGAAGGCCCATATTCACCGGATCTTATTCCGGCCATATCTCCGGAACCGGTTCACCGATTCCAAAACCGTTCAATAGCGTTCAATGGGACCCCAAGACCTATCATTTGGCGCCGAGTTTGTCCAAATCGGTTGAGCGGTTGCTGAGAAACGTGAGCGCATTCATTTCGTTACATACACACACACATACACACACACACATAAACACACAGACATGTTCCGATCTCGTCGAGCTGAGTCGAATGGTATATGACACTCGGCCCTCCGGGCCTCGGATCGATAGTCGGTTTTTCAAGTGATATCTATACCCTTCTTTGTAAGAAGGGTAAAAATGGGACATCTCTGATTTTGGTGTGATTGTTTTGAAAAAAAGTGCGCAAAATTTCATCTCTACCGATGGGGCAGCAAAACCACAAAATTATCTGGCATACGGGGGGTAATCATTGGATGAAAGGGACCGTGAAAGAGGACATTAAAATAGATAGTTTTTCTTCCGAAAGTTTCATCTTAGTATTCTTCTTTGGTTTTTCTGCGCATCCGCTCATTCGCCGACTGCCGTTCTCTCCAAAATCAGATTGGCATCTTTGCTGACTGGTGTAGTCTAAACCGTCTAAACCGACTGATGGTCAACCCAGTTAAGTGTACAATCATTACTTTCTCACGCAAGAAACAACCGATTATTTTCAACTACAAACTACTAGGCACGACTATCGAACGGGTGCATTGCGTGAAAGACTTGGCGTTTTTCTAGACTCAAAGCTGACATACTCACACCATATATCGTATGTCGTTGACAAAGCGTCCAGAACTCTTGGCTTTGTCTTCAAGATTACTAAGAACTTCACAGACATTTACTGCTTGAAATCGCTCTATTGCTCTTTCGCACAATCTACGGTGGAATACTGCTCTGCAGTCTGGAGCCCGAACTACAATAATGGGGCCGAGCGAATGGAATCTGTGCAACGACGTTTTCTTCGCTTCGCGCTCCGTAAGCTGCCTTGGAGATACCCACTTCGTCTTCCAAGCTTCGAGAATCGCTGCCAATTGATCAATGTCGAGCCCTTACGTATCCGAAGAGATGTTTTCAGAGCCTTAACCGTCGCCGATACTCTGCAAGGAAGCATCGACTGCGAAGCAATTCTGCAACAAGTGAACATTAATGTTCAACCTCGATCACTACGCAACAGTCTTATGCTGAGACTTCCATTTCTTCGAACCAATTATAGCCTAGGGAGCGCTATTTACGGCTTGCAGCGAGTGTTCAACCGAGTAGCGTCGATGTTCGATTTCCACTTGACACGGAATATGCTTCTGCCTTTTTTGCTGACCGAAGGCGCTTGACTGTTGGGCGTGTAAAATTTAAGACTTATACATTTTTAGTAACTTGACAATGCTTTCCTTGTTATTTTCGTTTGTAACTGTAGTGTATGTAGTCTGTATAATCTGTACTTTTTTTACAACACATCATTGCTTATTTGTGACTGATTTTGTTGTTGGGGAGTGTATGAACCATTAACGAACCAAAAACCATTCCAAAATTCATATACCTACCTTCATATTTTCAGAAGCGCTGTTCTATGATTGTGATAACGTTCACCTTACGGGATTGGTAAACCTAGTATTGCAGATTCCGCACCTCGCACTGCGCTAAAATAAGTACACAGTACTATATTCACACTGGTCATGAAATTAAAATATTGAGCTTCTTCAAGTTTTATAAAGTACAAAATCATCAGTGCAGCATGCCAATACTGCTACAAAGCTGCTACTGCTTCAAAATAAGTGAATTTTCAATTTTCAAGTGGTGCAAAATGTGCAAATTAAGTAATGCAAAGAAACACAAAGATTACACATACATAGAACAAAAATTTATTGTCATTAACACAAGGGACGTTTTATAACAAACATTGAATGCACTTAAAATTATGCTGAATGGAAGTGAACGTCACAGTCTGTCCTAGCCAGAAATTTAGCTCGAAATCATTGCTTAAAAATATATATTTTGGTCAAATTTTCCCTCCAACTTTTAGTTGACCTTCAGGTCAGTGGCCTGCTCCTTAACCCAGAAGACACCTCCGTTCAGGGCAATGGTACAGGTAATCTTGACGTTTTCGCTGAGTCCTCGTGGTGCAACCCAGTTAAAGGAGATGCTGTTGGGTGCGTTGGTAATCTTCTTATGGGTGATGGCAGACTGGAATAAATAATATAGCGAGAAGAAAAAGAAAATCAGTGCCACGCGAATAACCTTGAAATGAGATTAATTGAGAGTACGATCAATCGCGAGAGGTGTCAATATTCTGTAGTAGCAGGTAGGCATATAACAGTTGCTTGAACGGGTTCGTGCCGTAAGTGGTAATTTAAATCACTAGTCGTTTTGAGAGTGCTAGTTTCCAGTCGTAAATTGTAATTAATTTAAAATAAACAAGTTTTGCCTGTGCTACTCCAGTCACGACGATCGTTACTATGCTGTTTAATGATAATGTAGAGTGGTATCTGTTTGATCAGAACACTCATTAGGCCTGTCGACAGAGTGTTCAGATTAATGAATCAAAAAATCGCCATCACTCACCATCTTCGAGTTGCCGCAGTCCAGGGTCTGGATAAAGTTGTTGTTTGGCGGGACATCGAATGATCCAACCGCGGTCTCACCGACACGAGCCTGGCAAAGCAGTCCCTTGATGGTATCCTTTGCGGTGTTTCCTTGCACGGTAATGGTCACGCCTTCGCCGGATTTGATTTGCTTCTTGCCCAGCAGAATCTTGTACGGGGCAGCCGATTTCTGCGGATCGGTGTGATGCTGTGGGATCATGTCTCCACAGGCACCGTCCGGAGCACCGGCCGAGAAGGAGAAGGCGGGGGCGGCGCACAGCGCAACGGTCAAAAGCACGCAAGCGTATCGATAGGCCATCTTTAATACTGAAAAGTGTTGAAAACGTAAAATTACTATTAATGTTGGATCATAATCAAATGCTACATGTATTAACAACAACCCTTCATGTAAATTTTCCAAAGTTATAGTTTAGTTTGTTTTCTTCATTAAAGGCCAAAGGTGAAGACTTAAAGGCGTTTGTTTAAAAACTTCGCCAATCAATCACCATGCATGCAAATCGGCCCGAATCGGCAATGAACAAATGACTCATCAGTTCAGCAAAGGCGTTTTTGCGATTTGCGGAAACACGTATTCAAGCACCGTCGAAAAAAAAAAAACCGGAATAGCTATCGGTTTCCAAAGTGGTTAACGACCTGTAAAAACAAAGGATTTGCGCAAACTCTCTCGATCCACCTTCTTCTTCTAATGTTAAATTTCAAGGTTGCAGAGTTTTTTGTTGTTGTCGACAACCCGCGTATGATTGATTGGAAGAGGGCGAAGAATGATTTGCGATTCCACTACCTGCTACGAGATAGAGGAAGCTTACGAGTGCGTATTTATTTCTCAACCGGTTTTGGAGCTTAATAAATAGATTCGTTCCAACGATTAGCACTAAATTTGCCCCCTAAGTACAAATTGACCCTTTAGGTGGGAAAAACATTACTCGCCATATGGTGCCCGTTTAGCAACCAATTAAAACCAGAGGTGATGTTGCTTCTTTTCCATTCGACGACCATTGATTATGCATGCAGCGATAGCATTGACCCAAAAGTTGCAGTTTTATATCAACTCATTGCATACACTTCTACATTAACACTACGACGACCACCGAGCTGCATAATGTATGCAACGTGCGCCCCTCTGATGCTGATTGGCCGTTGACGGTAAGTAGATTTATGGTAGTCGTAACTTACATTCACATCCGATACGAGACGACTAGTATTTGGATGGATTACTAAATAAGCACAATAGGCAAAAATTGGTATGAGCAAAACTACGAGAGATTTAATAAACCTAGATGTAAATCATAACGCCAGAAACCACTTGAGTGCTATCGTTGGAGGATAGTAACTAAGTCGCCCATGTGATCGCACACCGAATGCAATTTTTGTTTTGTACTAAACGTCTCTGTTGCATACTTGCATGACGGGTTGACGTAGATATATCTTTGACTCGTAATGCCATTCATGCAGATACCCGCAGTACCAACCTACCTATTCACCTAAGTGTGGTTGTTGGCGCGGATCTGGTTGTCATTGATTGGCGCTCTTCATACTAAGCGCGTGACGGTTGCGAGGGACCAAGCAAGCAGCATGTTTTAAGCCATTGGTGAACAACTGTCACCGAGTTCTGCAAAGATCTAGGTCAATGGGCAAGGCTATCAGGTGTTTTGCGGTGACGCAAACTGGAAGCCTGGCACGCGTTGTTTCGATTTCTTGATATTCGCATCCAAAGTACAAACCATTGCGGAAAGGGTCAATTCTCGTTGAGATGCTTCCCGAGCAAAGCTGGAGATCAAATTGAAATCAAAATTTGCTGTTATGATGTAACTTATTTTGAATACTCCAGTTGATCTCATTTTGGCTGACTTAACTCTTAACACAGCAAACATGAGAGCAAACTTTTACACTGTTGTTATCAAATGGAAAACTAATCTTGCTTTCAATGAAATCAATTTGATTACTGATTTTGCATTCATAATTTTTAACTGAATACGTGCATGGCGTAAATAGTTAGTATCCATGCTTCTCACGCTGACAGAGTTGAGCTCAAATTTCACCCCGGGCTCCAAGTCATGAATGACCTAAAATGTGTTAAACAAAACAAATAAACAATAATCATTAGACATAAACGACAGGTGAACTTCAATTAAATTTTAAACAAGACGTTAACAGCAAAACTTCAAGTTAAGTTGCTTTCATTTAAAAAGTTTTGACTGCATAATGAAAGCACAATACGATATCAGACTGTCACGACAGATGAGTTTTCATTATGATAGGAACTGCAAACTTTAATATCGATTTGCTTTCATTTTGTTAACCGACTTTGCTCGGGTTTACTGTCACTTTTGAATTTGTCAAGCTTGTTGTACTGATATTACGACGTTTGCAAAATTTTATAATGCACCTGTTTGTTAAGGTGTTTCGTTGTGAGATCCTTATTCTCGTAACCACTTCGAAACTTTTAGTGCACAAATATCAGCTTCCTCGAAACGTACCATATTGAAACTGTTACTTCACGTTTGCTGTTCCGCAGCATACATAAAGTAGCAATTTCAGGTGAAATGGAGCAATAGTTTTCGAGATTTGTGTGATTGAAAATTCGAAGTGGAAGTGCCAACGTGGCGGCCATTTGTGGACTCTACAAGGAATCACCTTAAGTTATCTTAGTGTTGTACTAAGAGGAAGAGGTGACAATTGACTTCTTTCTCTTTAATTTCTATCTCTATCTCTATCTTTATCTATCTCTATCTTACGCACATGAAATCGGCCAATGAGGAGCTGGTTCACGTTTGACAGAAAAGTGGTTCATTTTCGCCCCTGTATTGTCACCTCTAAGGTGTTGTAGATATTGTAGATGGGACCCGTACAGAAGGCCGAATCCGAAAACCAATAAGGCCAAAAATTTATCAAAAACCGAATTTATTGAAAACTGCATCCAAACAATCTGTTAGCCTTTCTGCTCGCACAACTGACTCGGCTCGTTAAATGCTTTGCATTCACAAAAAATGAAGCTCAGATGAAATTAGATATAGAGGTGTTCTCACTTGCTGACTTTTTGGGAAAACCCAGTAAGTGGTAAGCTGCGGGTAAGAGAATGGTAAGGAAATGAGAGATGCGATAGAGGTGAATGGTTTATTTACGCATACACAACATTCTGATTGGGTAGCGAGTTGCGCAAGCAGTTGAATATGTGTAATTAAAACGTTCAACAAAACGGACCAAGAGGAATATCGCTGCAAATGACTCGATTTGAGAATATCTCCCATATTTAATTTCATCTTGAACGAAGCCATTATCGTCCTGAATACTCAAATATCTGGAAAAATAAAACTAACTATCACTTTCTCTCTCATTCAGCATCTGAAGCCTTTCTGCTCTTACAACTGAGTCACTTCGTTGAATTGTCCGCATTCACAAAAAACGAAGCCATTTTGTCATTAAATCGTCGTTAAACACTCAAACAAACATAAAACTAAACAGGGTGGCAAGTGAATTTCCATTTTGAAATTCCTGGTTTTTTCCTGGTTTCCCTGGTCAATGATTTAAAAATTTCCTGGTTTTAAAAACCATGTATTAAAAAAAAAAACAATTTTTAATAAAAAAATAAAGTGAATCCTTGTACCATCGTTCTTCGCGCGGAATTTCACAATCCAAAATAGGTATTAAGGTTCTTGTGAATGCCCGTGAAATCTTTATCTGATTGTTTGCTGTAAAGAAGCTTGTAGGGAGCCGCGCTACTTCGTCGTATCATGGCGCCTATTTCCGTTCTATGTGCTAAAACTATAATAGCAAAGCGTTTTCACTTGCAAAAACATCTTCGCTTACAACATTAATTACGATTGACACTGAAACATTTGCGATAACCCGTAAAATGAGCGATTTTAGGGGTGTATGACGAAGAAAAGCTGAGATACGACGCTGGTTTAATAACTCTTATTATTAAAAAGACTGACTGCTGAAGTTCATAGAAACTCCCTAAAGTTCGTAGAACTTCCCTGAAGCGTTAAGGTCTTTCCTGAAGGGTTCATTGAAGTTTGTATTGCCTGAATTTCATGGGACTTCCTGAAAGGTTCATTGAAGTTTGTATTGCCTGAATTTCATAGGACTTCGCCGAAAAGGACTTTTTTAAAGATCTTAGGACTTCCCTGAAGTTCGGAGTTTTTTGAAATTCATAGGAATTTCTTGAATCTCGTAGAAGTATCACGAAGTTCGTATAAATTCTCAGAAGCTCGTAAGACTTCCTTCAAGTTCGAAGAACTTTCTCGAAGATCTGAGGACTTCCCTGAAGTTTGAAGGACTTAACTGAATATATGATGACCCTAAATTTAGAAGAGCTTCCCTAAAGTTCATAAGGCTTTAAATATCGAAGAGTTTTCCAAAAGTTTGTGGGTATTTCCTTAATTTCTAGGAAATTCCCTGAAGTTTGGAGAGCTCCCATGAATTTCGTAGGACTACCTGTAGTTTAATCGACTTCTCGAAAGTTCTAGGAACTTTTTTGAGCTACTATGTTAAGTTCAGAGGACATCCCAAGAGTATTGACCCAAGTAACATTGCAGGTTTTATCACGGTTTTATAGCATTCTACAAGTCTAAATCATGGTCTACAGAACCCTCATAAAACCAAAATTGTTACTTAAAAAGGCTTCTCTGAAGCTCGGAAAAAATCCATAAGTTATGACACTTATCCTTAAGTTTTAAACAATGCCTAAATGTCGTAGAAGTTACATTAAATCTGTAGAAAATTCTGTAAAATTCGTAGTTATTCCCCAAAGATTAAAGGACTTCCCTGAAGTTCGTAAGACTTCTCTGAAATTTGTAGAACTTCTCTGAAGGTTCGGAGAGATTTCCTGACCGTCGTAGGTCATCACAGTAGTTCACAGGACTTTCCCGAATTTTGTAGAACTTGCATGAAGTTCGAAGGCCTTATCTGAAGTTTTTAGAAATAGAACTTTTTTATTGAACATGTTGAACAGGTACTTCAAAGTAGTTACGCGTCGGCACTGCTTAAGTCTGCTATCAATTAAGCACAAATCACACATGCTATTGATTCGAGAAAAAAATGAAATTAAAAATAAATACAAAATATATTTACTAAATTCTCAGGGTAAATTTGTGATTCGACCTTTTGTGATTCGACCTTTTGTGTATTTCGGCCTTCTGTGATTCGGCTTTTCGTAGTATTCCCATTGTAGAGTACTGCGATGATAAAATTTCTCTTCAAATTACAACAGCTAAAGGAAGCAATTTTCTGAGATTTGTCCAATACAGTGCTGTAACAGCTTGTATTGGCTATCAAAAGCAACAACAAACGCAACGAGAAATGTT